GTAGCATTGATTGGGGAAAGGGGACTACCTTGAAGTTTAACTCTATATGAATATTAGAAAATAAAAATAAAAAAGGAATAGACTAAACTAAACTAAAATTTAAAAAAATTATAAAAAATAGAAATGCAAAAGAAAAACACAGGTGTATGTATCAAAAAGTTCAGGTTAGAAGGTTATTATGGAATTTGATGTACTGGACATCTCACTGTGATGGTAAATAGGTTAAAAAATTATGTATATATATAAAAAATGAACCAGAATAGTGGGAACGAGTTAAAAATAAAAGTTGTCCTATGAAGTAGTGGTGGTTGTTCTCTTGTAGTCTTTTTTTTCTCCTGGTTGGTTTTCTGGGGGAGGGGCCTGCCACGTGGGTTTTCAGTCAATGATGTTCCCTGAGTTAAGTCCTCCCGCGGCCCTCAAGGGGGTGGGCTCTGAGGAAACCATTTTTTTTCAGGCTTTTGTTCTCTGGAGGTTTTTATGTTTGTTCACTTTTATTTTCTCTCGCCTGGACTGCTTTTGATGGTTTTTGTAGGTTTAGAGGAAAGCAAACTGCAGCCTGACCTCCTCTCAGAGAGAAGCCTCAGTCTGGTCCCCTGTGCGTGCTGCAGAGCCCATACAAATTTCCCCCTTGGCCACTGGCAGAGCAGGTTCCAAGTTGCGGTTCCTGGGGACACAGGATCTTCTGCTTTTACCCAAAACCACGGCAGCAGCAGCTGTCTGGGCAGCTCCAGACTGCCAGAGAGGTTCCAAGCAGTGATCGCACACTGAGATTTTCCTGTTGGCCTGGGCTGGGAGTGCCTGGTCTTTCCTGGTCCGAGAGCACCAGGCTGGTGCCTGCGTCCACCTCTCTCAGGGTAGGGTTTGGGGTGTGCGCATCTCAGGCTCTGTTAGCATGGCGCGGCATTCTGTGTCTGGTAAGGCTCCCAGCCCCTCACAGGAGCCGGACCCCATGCATTCTTGGGCGTGCTGGCGGCTCAGGGACCAAGACCTGGTTTCTCCGCCGCACTCTCTCAGGCTCAGCACCAGGGGAGGCTGTCCTGGGTCCCGGGACAGGGACAATAAAGAAATAGGAGCTTTGAATGACACATTGGACCAGAAGGACCTCATAGATATATACAGAACATTCTACCCTAAAACAACAAATACTCATTCTTCTTGAGTGCACATGGAACTTTCTCCAGAATAGATCACATACTGGGTCACAAATCAGGACTCAGCTGACACCAAAAGACTGAAATTATTCTCTGCATATTCTCAGACCACAATGCTTTGAAACTGGAACTCGACCACAATGCTTTGAAGCTTGGACTCAACCACAAGAAAAAGTTTGGAAGGAATACAAATAGTTGGAAGCTAAAGGCCATCCTGCTCAAGAGCATTTGGATCAACCAGGAAATCAAAGAGGAACTTGAACAATTCATGGAAACCAGTGAGAATGAAGACACATCAGTCCACACCTATGGGATATGGCAAAGGTGATCCTAAGGGGGAAATACATAGCTATCCAAGCCTCATTCAAAAAAATTGAAAAATCTTGAATACACCAATTCTCTTTACACCTTAAAGAACTGGAAAATCAACAACAAATTAAGCCAAACCCACACATAAGAAGGGAAATAATTAGTATTAGAGCAGAGATCAATGAGTTATAGAGATATAGTAGAACACATCAACAAACCTAGAAGCTGGTTCTTTGAAAGAATCAATAAGATTGATAAGCTACTGGCCAAATTAATCGAAAAGAAATGAGAGAGGACTCAAATTAATAAAATTATAAATGAAAGGGGGGAGACCACGACTAACATCAAGGAAATAGAAACAATCATCAGAAATTATTATCAACAGTTATATGCCAATATGCTAAGCGACCTAGAAGAAATGGATGCATTCCTGGAAACCTATAAACTTCCAAAACTGAAACAGGAAGAAATTGACAACCTGCATAAACCAATATCTAGTAACAAGATTGAAGCAGTGATCAAAAACCTCCCCAAAAAACCAAAAGTCCAGGACTTGATGGATTCTGTCGGGAATTCTACCAAACATTCAAAGAAGAAATAATACCTATTCTCCTGAAGCTGTTTCAAAATTAGAAACAGATGGAAAACTTCCAGACTCTTTTCTATGAAGCCAGCATTATCTGGATCCCCAAACCAGGCAAACATCCCATCAAAAAGGAGAATTTCAGACGAATATCCCAGATGAATATGGATGCCAAGATTCTCAACAAGATCCTAGTTAATAGGGTCCAACAGTACATTAAAAAGATTAACCACCATGACCAGGTGGGTTTTATCCCTGGGATGCAAGGGTGGTTCAACATTCACAAATCAATCAATGTGATAGAACAAATCAATAAGAGAGAAGAACTACATGGTCCTCTCAATTAATTCAGAAAATGCATTTGATAAAATACAGCATCCATTCCTGACTAAAACTCTTCAATGTATAGGGATAGAGAGAAGAGTCCTCAACTTCATAAAATCTATGAAAAGTCCACAGCGAATATCATTCTCAATGGGGAAAAGCTGACAGCCTTCCCTTTGAGAACAGAAACATGACAAGGATGCCCACTCTTGCCACTGTTGTTCAACATAGTACTAGAAGTCCTAGCAACAGCAATCAGACAACACAAAGAAATAAAAGGTATTCAAATTGGCAAAGAAGAAGTCAAACTCTCTCTCTTCACAGATAATATGATTCTTTACAAGAAAAACCCAAAAGACTCCACCCCCAAACTACCAGAACTCATATAGCAATTCAGTAATGTGCAGAAATACAAAATAAATGCACAGAAATCAGTTGCTTTCTTATATACTAACAATGAAAATATAAAAAGGGAAATGAGAGAATCAATTCCATTTACTATAGCACCAAGAACCGTAAGATACCTTGGAATAAAACTAACCAAAAAGTTAATGGGTATGTACTCAAAGAACTACAGAATGCTCATGAAAGAAATTGAAGAAGACAGGAAAAGATGGAAAAGCATTCCCTGCTCAGGGATTGGAAGAATAAACATTGTTAAAATGTCTGTATTGCCCAGAGCAATCTATACTTTCAATGCCATCCTGATGAAAATTCCACTGGCATTTTTCAAAGTTCTGGAACAAACAATCTTAAACTTTGTATGGAACCAGAAGAGACACTGCATTGCTAAGGAAATGTTGAAAAAGAAAAACAAAACTGGGGCATCATGTTGCCTGATTTCAAGTTTACTACAAAGCTGTGATCACCAAGACATAATGGTACTGGCACAAAAAAAGACACATAGACCAGTGGAACAGAGTAGAGAGTCCAGATATGGACTGGCAACTCCAGGATCAAATAATCTTCAACAAAGCAAGAAAAAATATCCAGTAGAAAAAAAGACAGTCTCTTCAATAAATGGTACTGGGAAAATTGGACAGCTATGCAAAGAAGACTGAAACTGGACCATTCACTTACACCATACACAAAGATAAACTCGAATTGGCCCTATGCCCCCAGTGTTCATAAGAGCAATATCCACAATAGCCAAACTGCGGAAAGAGCAAAGATGCCCTTCAACAGATGAATGGATAAAGAAGATATGGTCCAGATATACAATGGGATATTCTGTCTTCATCAGAAAGGACGAATACCCAAATTAGTATCAACATGGACAAGACTGGAAGAGCTTATCCTGAGTGAAATAAATCAAGCAGAGAAAGTCAATTATCATATGGTTTCATTTACTTGTGGAGCATAAGGAATAACATGGAGGACATTAGGAGAATGAAAGAAAAAGTGAATTGGGGGAATTGGAGGGGGAGATGAACCATGAGAGACTGTGGGCTCTGAGAAACAAACTGAAGGTTTTGGAGGGGAGGGGAGTGGGGGGATGAATGACCCAGCCTGGTGGTGAGCCTGGTGGGTATTAAGAAGGGCACATATTTTATGGAGCACTGGGTGTGGTACATAAACAATGAATCTTGGAACTCTGCAAAAATAAAATGAAATAAAATAAAATAAAATAAAATAAAATAAAATAAAATAAATATATTATGTATTTATAGCACTTAAATATGGTTTATAATAACAATTCACAGTATGTGTTTATATTAAATATATTAAATAACACATTTTAAGCTATATTTTGCTGGGATTGTTAATTTACCTCTTTGAATATGGGAAAATATAAATATTTATGTCAACAAAATAGATAATGTGTCTGCTGGCTGTAGAACAATGGCAGGAAAGAAATACTTGCATAGAAAGTGAAGGAGACAAATCAAAGGAAGGCATTTGAGACTGACTGCTACAACTACTGTTCTTGGAATGAGCCTGTGCCTGTATCACACCTTCAAGATGCATGTAGGGAACAGACTGACCTACCTGTGATGTTCACTGTAGTATTTTTCTCACTTTGGTATAGTATCTAGCAAAATTAAGACACTTTTATATTAAACACATATTTTTTGAAAAAGCATACAATATATTATTAGAGCACATACAATTATCCAGCTATCTTGAAAACATGAGGATGTCTAAAATAGACTATGAATTCCTTAGGACAACGAGTATTTTATCTACTCAAAGCTTTTGTTAAATATTGAGTGTGGACATGAATTTATTTTATATTAAAATGAAACTTAAAAAATGAGAAAGTAGCATCTGGATGATTAGTATTTGTAGATTAATAGCATTAAGAAAACCAACATGATTTGTAGAATTTTATAAATTAATGGATTAAATAATCATTATGCGATTTTGATTCAGTCAACCACAAACTCAAGATTGTTATAATTTTCCCACAAGTAGATAAAAAATCGAAATAGGAAATAAAAAAAACCCAACACCCTACAGTTCACAGTGAAATTAAGAAAGAGTAAATGTATGAACATTTTGCTACTGAGAATTCTGATCCAGAAAGAAAACAAACATTAATTCCATTAAAGGAGGCTTCTACCAATACAATACGGTTAAGTGATAGACCAAACAGAACAAGAACATGCTTACCAGGAAAGGAAACTACTTACTGGGGAAAACCACATCACTTTAAGAATCCAAATTGTAAGAGCAAAATTCACGAGGAGGATGATGAGTAAAAGAAGAACAAATAAGTAGAGACAACGCTTTCTCCAGCCATAAATGCCAATTTTGTAGACACACTGGTTCTCTGGCCTCTGTATGTGGGTGCCTTCTGTGGTTGTAGTGTACTGTTCACGGACCATCTGCCACGGGGTAGGGGGAGGGTGGGAGAAGGGGCAGGGAACGGGTGAGGTAGAGAGGGAGGGTCAGAGAGACACAGAGACAGAGAAGGAGAGAGAGAAAGGGAGAGAAGGAGTGTAGAGAGATAGGGAGGAGAGGAAGGAGTGGGAGAGGGTGAGAGAGGGAGGGACAAAGAAATAGAAACAAAGAACTTTTTTGTCAATACTGATTTACTACAAGTCCCACAAGATAATACTTTTTGCCCCAATAATAAATTTTCAAAATTAAGACGAGTTTTAAAAAGAACTGAATGTTACTTTGAAATATATCATTATTTCAAGCACAGAGTGATATTTTCTCTATCATTCAAAATAGTTTAGATACAACCAATTCATCTGAAATCCAGTGACCATATTTTCACATTTTAATCAATACATTTTATATGTATAGTCAACTTTCAAAATTCTGCAGGGTTAAACTTGGAATTGAAGCATCAACCTAAAATAATCAACTTACCAAGTTTTTAAAAGATTCAGTGGGAGGAAAATCAAGCTGATATCTACATATCTTTCTAAAATGGAATCCAATTATTTAGTTTTTATGTCAAATAATTAAATCACATCTTTCTTCATTTGCTAAATTACTCAGAATTAAAAGCTCTCTTCATTTTTGCTTATAATAAAGTTCCCCAGTATTAACCAACTTCCAAAACAATCAGAAGGTATACATGCATACAAATGTTTATAAGTACTCACTGTTTTATGTAAATTACACTAAGTTTTCATAACAATTTCAACTCTATGAGGAGATTTTAAAGAATTATTCATTATTTCACTTCACAACAGAGGAAAGAAGAAAGTGTTTTTTTGTTTATTCTTTTTTTAGATTTTATTTATTTATTTGGCAGAGAGAGAGACAGTGAGAGAGGGAACACAAGCAGGGGGAGTGAGAGAGAGAGAAGCAGCTCCCCGCTGAACAAGGAGCCTGATGCGGGGCTTGATTCCAGGACCCTGGGAACATGACCTGAGCCAAAGACAAATGCTTAATGACTGAGCCACCCAGGCACCCAAAAAAGTGGTTTTAATTTATAAAGTGAAGATTAGAGATTACAAAGACTTTCCTGATTATAAATGCAGTAAAATGATAAATCAGAACATAAAATATTCTCTAGGAATTTTTTTTTTTTAATGCAAAGGTCTTACGTTTATTTTTAGGAATGGTTTGGAAGTGTCATTATTAAAATAAGTCATAGTCTGAAATAATTCTTGAAAAACAATTGGATTTTCCTACATTCTAATTGATTATATAAAACTGTGCTATTCATTACATAGGATTTCCAATACTCAGGATAATCTACATGATTCAAAACCTAAATGCTTACTGATGTCATAACTGGCATAACTTATTTGCTCATTTCTTTGAGGTCCTCAGTCTTCTTTACAGTAGAGTCCGCCTCACGAACACAGTTGCTTCAAAGTCCTAGGAGTCATCCTTGCTTCTTCTCTTTTCCCTTCAGACTTCTCACATTTTATCAGCTCTGCCTTAACCTGTATCCTGAGTGTGTCCACTCCTCTTGCCCCTATACTAGTTCAAGCCTCTACAAACTCTCTTATGGAACCAGTTTCCCTTTTTTCCTTTCAGAAACCATGCTCTACCCAGCAGCCAAATATGCAAAATGTAAGCAAGTTCCTACCATTCTGTTCTTTCAAACTTTCTAAAGGCTCTTCCCCACACTGAGAGTATCTGAGCTCCTCTGTCACTGGCTAAACCCTCCATGAAGGGCCTTGGCTTACTTCTTCAACATCATCTACTAGCATTTGGTCTTTACTCGCAATGCTCCATCTACTCTTTAAGTGACCAAGTTAACTCACCTTAGGACCTCTGTCCTGGGCATTCTCTCCACCTGAAACCCCCTGTTGGTTCCTTCTTAGCCTTCAGTGGCAGCTCACATGTCATTTCCTCAAAGATGCCTTCTCTGGGCACTCAGGTCATGTATCATCACCTCCCATTATTACATTTATTTCAAAGTGCTTGTCATTATCTGTACTAATGGTGGCAACTCCAAAACTTCTGTGAAGCACAGGCTGAGAGACTGCAGCTGTATCAGGAAGGGTGACCAGGGAGTCTGAATTTATAGCAAGTGCACTATTTTATAATGTCATTATGGATCAGTAAAAACAGCAGCTTTCCAAGAATGCTATGTGTATACGGGGTTTCCAAATGCTATGTATTTCTATTCCTACATAGAGTTTCCTATTCCTGGTGTAACATATTGTCACAAATCTGGTGGCTTAAACCAACACAATTTTGTTATCTTACAGTTTTGAAGGTCAGAAGTCCAAAAATGGGTCTTTGGGGGCTAAAAAATCAAAGTGTGGGCAGGTTTGTATTCCTTCTGGAGGGTGTAGGGAAAATCTGTTCCTTCTTTTCTCCAGCTTCCAGAGGCTGCCCACACTCCTTGGCTACAACCTTTATTTGTGTTGTCTCAGCTCCTTCTCTGACTCTGACCCTGCTATTTCCTCTTCATAAGGACCTTGTGATTACACTGGGCCCACCTGGGGAATCCAGGACAATCTCCCCATCTCAAAAGCCTTAACATAATCACAACTGTAAAATCCCTTCTACCATGTAAGTTTCCAGGGATTAGGACATGAACCTATTTTGAAGTCATTATTCTACCTTTCATAGAAAGTTTTGTTCACACTTACATAAAATGGGGAAAACCTTAATATCCATTTAAATCTTTTTGTTATGGCTTACAAGAGAGCCAGTAGCAATTCTGTTATGAGGGTAGACCTTAACTCCCTCTAATTCAGTCTTTGGAATCTGTTTCGATTATTCACCTGTTTATAGACTCCTCCTCCTTCGAATGTAAACTCTATGTGAGTCTTGTTCAATGCTATGTCCCTAAAACAGTGTAACTGACAAATAATAGGCACACAATAGAGGTCTTAAGAGAATGAGTGAGTGAAAAAATGGAAAGAAATAACTATTGAATTTGAAAAACACTAATTGAGCTATCTACCTGTCAGGGACAATGATAGCAAATGGGGCTAGATAGTATGAGTGAGTCCTCTGAGTTAAAGACTAAATAAAACATAGTATGACTTATGAGCATACTGAATACATTAAGAAAAGATTTAGTAGTTGTGGCCCAACACTCTACTTAAACAATGACTGTGGATGAGGAGCTAATACCACGGGGGATCCAGGCTAAGTAGACAGAAATAAAACCGCTGTCTCTGTTAAAGTATTTTCAGGAAAGACCTATTGGAAAGAAGACTAATAATATAGAAAATGAGGTCTCTAGGATTTTATTACTGAAAGAATACTAACAAAGACAAACTATATAAGACCAGTCTGTGGCTCCTGAGAATAGCGATTCTGCTTTTACCACCATATGCCCTGGCAGACCGCAGAAATTTCACAAATATCTACAGCCCCAGCTCCATTTCTCCACTCCTCCTCCCACCAAAACTCCTTGAGTGTGTTGACTCTACCCACTATCCCTCTATGTGTCTTCCTTATCTCTAGAACTCAATTCCTGACAGGCTTCTACACCCACCACCCACTGAACTTGATTTTGTAATAAGCCTTCAATGACCTCCATGTTGCTAAGCAAAGTGTGCGTTCATATGTCCTCAGGTCAGCACATGCCAAATAGTCATCACCTCCACTTCCACTAGGTTTCCAGGAACCCTCATTGCAATGGAAATTGCTTCTTATTATCACTTGCTGCTTCCTCATCTCCCAGCCTCAAACTCAGCCCTTAGACTACTTCTCTTCATTTGTACTTACCCCCACTTGGAGATGCATCTTTTTTTTTTTAAAGGTTTATTTATTTACTTTAGGGAGGGAAAGAGACAGAGGGAGGGACAGAGAGAAAGAACACAAGTAGGGGAGGGCCAGTGGGAGAAAAGCTTGGTGGGGAGTCTGACGCAGGGCTCAATCTCATCACCAATGAGATCATGACCTGAGCTGAAACCAACAGTTGTATGCTTAACTAAGAGAGAGAGAGAGAGAATATGGTGGGGATGGGCAAGGGACAGGGAGAGAGAAGCTCTAGCAGACTCCAGTGCAAGTGTGGAGCCCAATGTGGGGCTGGATCCCACCACCCTGGGATCATGACCTGAGCTGAAACCAACAGTCAGATTCTTAACCAACTGAGCCCCCCAGGTGCCCTGTGAGTTACCCCACCTTTGTGCACCTACTTTGCTAAGAGTCTGGATCCCATTTCCTCAGGTGAACATACTGACTCCAGGCTCACCTTCAGAAGCTAGTGATCTGCTTTCTTGTCCTTCCAGATTTGAGTTCTAGTTACCACTACTTCTGCTTTCACATCTGTTTTTTTCCTCAGTTGTCTTTCTCACTCTATCATGTTTTATGACTGCCCACTTTAAGGATTTTGGTTAACCTGCTATTGCTATTTCTCAGTGTTGATTATGCTGAATAAACAAGGATTTTACTCTAGACGGGCATGATTTAAATGGCTAGGTGGAACACTCAATTTAAATTTTTTCTAAAAAATCAACTTTGTTATTTAATAAATTATTAGCTTATGTTCCTCTTGGAGGCTTTTATTTATTTACTTTGTTTGACACAGTGTATCACGTTTTTGCTAAAAGAGACTTTCAGAGGCTATCTGGTTCAGTTAGCTTCCTTTAGATATTTATTATCATCAGCATTGGGAAGGGTACCAATTCTTCAGCATGTTAAGTCAGACAACAGCAAAATAGCATTCATGCTGGCAAGATATTGCACTGGGACAATGCAGAGGACTTTGTGAGCTATTAACAAGCCCTTTACTAAAAAATTCATGAAATACTGCTTTATTTTAGAACTTAAAATCTGTATTCTAAGAAAGAATTTTGAGTTGAATAAAACTCAAAATAATTGAATAAAAATTACCTTTGGAGAGCACTTTATTTTAAAAAGTAATACATGTTATTAAGGCATCGGGGTGGCTCAGACAATTAAACATCTCCCTTTGGCTCAGGTCATGATCCCAGCATCCTGGGATTGA